GCACAGTAAGGGTGAGGGAGTGATGACAAGCTTCATTTAGAGATCTTGACTCTTCTAAATCTTGACTACTATTAAAGAACGCACTCCTAAGGGAGTATCTCATGGGAACAAAGTGAAGAAACTGTCAGTAAGAAATACAGAAGGTGGCAGAGCCTTAAAATTCAAAACTCAGATGTCGATACAATGACACATTTTAACATGTTTATGTGAATTGGAAAAAGTCTGCTTTGGCTGATTGATGTGATAGTGAAGCCTGGCTTTGCTGATTAACTTTAAAGTTAGATGTTTTATATACACGAAATGAGCCAAATATGCAGTTCCAAGGTTTTGCAAAACTATACTTAAAGATCATGACAAGATAAAAGTATTTTAACAAAAAATACTATATGGGCAAAGCATTTAGAGAAATGTTACTATTTCTGTTTTCTCAACTCCAAGTTAAAAAATAAGATGTCTTGAAATAAAAGAGTTACAGATAATTGTTAACAATTTGGTAAGTCTTTTAAAAGGCTTTTTAGTATATCTTGGAATTTGAGAAAACGAATAACTCAAATAAATGAGTTCCTAAATGAGGTGCCTGATGACAGATCATAAAAAGTAATTTTTGAGGATAGAGTACTGTGTAATTTTTTAGCATCTCTCTTGGATGGAGGTCTAAGATTTGAGTGACATTGCCATTACAAGATGTTTCTCATAGCCATCTATTTATCTGAACAGATTTTCTCAGTGTTTACATTTACAAAAGCATTAACTATGAATAGAAATGATGCCGAATCCTAGCTCTTCTACCTATAATATTTCTCTACTAACACATGAACCACTGAGAAAAATATAGCACTATTCTTTTAGCTAAAAATGCATTTCCAATAAAATATGTCGTAGAAGATTATCAGACTATTCCTCTTATAGATAAAAAGTATAAACTTCAGACAAAATATAAAAACAATTATTTGAAGACACTAGAAAGCAACTAAAAGCAGGCAGACAGAAACTGAAGGGGTAACTATTCTTCAAATAATGGAAATATAATGAGTGAAATTTATAATCATGTATCTTTTTACCTGAGGACACTTCCCAGTATGTACTGTGGAAGGCAGCTGGAACTTCCTCAGAAACCTGCAGTCTTTTTTTTTTTTTTTTTTTTTTTTTTTGAGACAGAATCTCACTCCATTGCAACCTCAAACTCCTGGGCTCAAGTGATCCTCCTTTCTCAGCCTCCCAAGTAGCTGGGACTACAAGTGTGCACCACCACACCCGGCTAATTTTTTTTCTATTTTTAGTAGAAGCGGGTCTCACTCTTGCTTGAGGGCTGGTCTTGAACTTCTGACCTCAAGAGATCCTCTTGCCTGGCCTCCCACAGTGGAAGGATTACAGGTGTGAGCTACTGCACCTGGCCAGAAAGCTACAGTCTTAATGGCTCAAGGAGTTAGAAGATAAGATTCTGGGGCTCTCAGAGAAGCTCGAAATGGAGAAGGGATATCTTGAAAAGAAAGAAGTCAGAGAGGGAGAGAACTCCAAAATCTGCCCATACATTCTGGCCAAATCTTTAGTTGACTCCTGAACTGTGTACACATCGGGGATACTTCAAGGAGTCCAGCAAAAAGTAACAGTTGGATTGCTGAAAGAAATGATTGATCATAAGTTTCAGGTGGAGTTTGACTTGACTCCAGCCAAGTTAACTACTTGCTAAATCAAATCAACACTCAGTAGAGGAATATTAATATAACAGAATATACAGTCTCTACAATATATCATCCCCATTATTCAGGATATAATAAAAAATTAATAGATATGTAAAGAAAGTTTGACCCATAGTCAAGAGAAAAAGCAGTGAATAGAAACTGACACCAAGATGACCCAGATGTGAGAATTAGCTGACAAAGACATTTAAACAGTTATTACACATATATTCAAGAACTTAAAAAATGTGATTGTAATGAATTAATCCATGGGAAACGTCAGCAGAGAAATAGAAGCTCCAACAACAAAAAGAACTAAAAAAAAAAAAAAAATTCTAGAACTGAAAAGTTCAAGGTCTGAAATAAAAAACTATACTGTGTGAGCTTAATAGCTGATTGTGAATAGTCAAAGGGTTGACAAATTTAAAACAGATTAAGAGGAATTATCCAATCTGAAGAACAGAGAACTATTGAAGAAAATGAATAGACAGGTAGAATCCTACTGACTTTTGGGATAATATCAAAGAGTCTAGCACACATGTAATAGAAATGTCAGAAGGAAAGAAAAGAGAGAATGGGACAGAAAAACTATTTGAAAAAATGACTGAGATTTTCCCAAATTTTGTGGAAAACATAAATCTATAGATTCAAGAAGCTTAGCAAGGCTGGGCGCGGTGGCTCACGCCTGTAATCCTAGCTCTCTGGGAGGCCGAGGTGGGCGGATTGTTTGAGCTCAGGAGTTCGAAACCAGCCTGAGCAAGAGCGAGACCCCGTCTCTACTAAAAATAGAAAGAAATTAATCGGACAACTAAAAATATATAGAAAAAACTAGCCAGGCATGGTGGCGCATGCCTGTAGTCCCAGCTACTCGGGAGGCTGAGGCAGGAGGATCGCTTGAGCCCAGGAGTTTGAGGTTGCTGTGAGCTAGGCTGACGCCATGGCACTGTAGCCAGGGCAACACAGTGAGACTCTGTCTCAAAAAAAAAAAAAAAAAGCTTAGCAAAACCCAAGCAAGACATATATAAAGAAAATCATACCAAGAACATCATGGCCAAATTATTGAAAACCAGAGATCATGAGAAAATTTTAAAGGCAGCTAGAGAAAATGACACAGTCCAAATTGGGTGGGTAGATAGAGAAATATGATTCAGAAACAATGAAGGCCAGAGGACAATGGGATGACATTTTTAGAGTTAAACTTGGATAGATGAGGGGAACAACATCAATCTAAAATTCAATACCCAGAGAAAATATCCTCTGAATATGATGATAAAATAAAGATAATTTCAAGCTAAGTAAAACTTAGATTTTATCATCAGCAGATGGGCATTATAAGAAATGTTTTTGTTTTTTTAAAAAACATGAAGGATCTACATGAAGAAATGGAGAACACTGGAAATGGTAAATATGCAGGTAAATACAAAATACTTTAAATTGTTTTAATTTCTTTAAAAGATGTGATTGTTCAAGGCAAAAATTATGCATTATATTTAAATATATGTAGGTCTATTATATATGACAACAATTACATAAAGAATGGGGTATAAATGGAACTATACTTTTGCAAGGTTCTTAAATTTTATGTCATGTAATACATTCTGGGCTCTCAGTACATTGAGATAATTTAAGGATGCATACTGTGAACCCTAGTATAACCACTAAAATTTAATGTGAAAAGGTAAAGCAGAAAGCCAATAGTGGAATTCAAATGAAATAATGAGAAATACTGGATTAACTCTAAAGAAAGCAGGAAAGGAGGAACAGAAGAACAAAAAAAAAGATAAAACAGATAGAAATTGAAAAATGACAGATTTAATCTTACCACAGCATTATTACATTAAATGTAAATGGACTAAAACTTCAATTATAAGGCTGGATTTAAAAAAAAAAAAATCAAGAACCAGCCATAAGCTATCTACAAAAGATACACACACTTTAAATACAATGATACAAATTAATTGAAAAGAATGGAAAAAGCCTTACCTAGCAAATAGTAAGCCCAAGAATGGTGGGGTGGTTATATTAGTATCAGACAAAATAGACCTCGAGCCTATTAATACTCAAGCAGTATTAACAGATAGGGAGGAACAGTTCATAATAATAATTTTTTAAAAGGTCAAATCATTAGGAAAACACAAAGTCTAACTGAAGGCATAAAAATCCCGTGTATGCGCTTAATAACACAACCTCAAAATGCATGAAGCAAAAACTCACCAAACTAAAAGAAGAAATAGATGAATCCCCAGTCATAAATAGAGAGATTGTAATACTCTCCTCTTCGTAATAGAACTAGACCAAAAAATCCATAAGGATACAGGGGATCTGAATATTATCAATACTTAACTGAATTGGTATTTATAAGACCAATTGATAGTTATAGAACCACTCAGCTGCAGAATACACATTCTTTTTAAAGTGTACATGAAATGTTCACAAGGTAGATAATATGCTGAGCTATAAAATGAATTTCAATAAATTTTAAAAGACCGAAATCTTAGAACATCTTCTTTGGCCACAACAGACTTAAACTAGAAATACCAATATCTAGGAAAGCCCCTAAATATTTAGAAATTAACACATTTCAAAGAAGTGGGTCAAAGAAGAAATCATAAGAGAAACTAAAAACTATTTTCAATTGAATGAAAATGGAAGCACAACATATCAAAAATGGTAGTATGCAGCTAGAGCAGTGCTTAGAGGGCAACTCATAGTTTTAAATGCTTCTATTTAAAAGTAGAACATTCTAGAATCAATAATACAATCTTCTACCCAAAGCAACCAAAGAAAGAAGAGGAAATCAAACCCCAAATGAGCAATAAAGAGCAAAATTCAACAAACCCAAAAGATGGCTTTTTGAAAAGATTTTAAAATTGATAAACCTTCGGCTAGATTAGTCAGAAAAAAAGAATATACAAATTACCACCAACAGTAATGTCTCAACAAAGACAAAGTTCCTGCTCTTAGGGACTTCTAGGGGAGGAAACAAATATTAGTCATACAAGTAAACCTGTACCTATAGATTGTGGTAAATTCTAACGGAGAATTCTGTAGTGGAGTGCCTACTTAGGTTAGAGGAGGGCATCTCTGCGGAAATTCCTCAGGTTCCCGCGCCCCACTAGAAGCAACACTAACTCTGCTTGGCGTTTTCCTAGGCTCTCGGCTGGCGGCCCCGCCCCCCCACCGACCCACCCCCCTCAGCCTCCGCCCCGCCCCGCCCTTCTGCGCAGGCGTGCGGCTGGCGCCCCGCCGGGGCGCGAGGTGGGGCTCAGCCGGCGGCGGGGCGGGGCAACTGCTGGGCTGGCGCCGAGCGGGCCAGTGAGCTGGCGAGGTGGCGTCGGTCCGGCCCGGCCGCTCCTGTTCCCCGCCATGCAGAGGCCAGACTCCAGCGCTTGGCCTCTCTGATCTGGTCACATCGCGGAACGCGCTGAGGGAGCCCATGGCGGAGCCCTCCGAGCCTGACCGGCCGGACGGCGAGAGCCAGGGGGAAGAGGAGGATGAGGAGCGGGAACCTCTGCTGCCGCGGATCGCCTGGGCCCACCGGCGGAAAGGCGCCCCGGGCAGCGCCGTGAGGCTGCTGGAGGCTGCCGGGGAGGCCCGCGAGGCTTCTCCTTCCGTGGCCGTCGATGAGGAACTGTTGCTTCCGCCCAGGGACGTGGGGGTCTCCCAGAGCTCGTCCACCAACCGGGACCGGATCCGCCCCACGGGTTCAGGTGCGAGCCGGCTCTCCCCTTCTCCCGGGTCCTTCCCGGGGCTTCTGCTGCCTCCGCCGCAGCCCCCGGTTCGCGCCCCTTCCCGGTCCGGCTCGGATCTCTCTCACACTTGCGCTTGCTTTCCCCGCTCGCTGGGCTCGCTGGTCCGGAGCGCGGGCCACATCCCGGACAACACGCCCTTCTCTCCTGCTCCCACGTTTACACCCTCTTTTTCCAGGAGCTGTAGGCGGCTTCGCCTAAGGCGAAGTTGTCATTAAGCTGATTCTTTAGGCCTCTTTCCCAAAGCGAGTCCAAACTTTTGGAATCAGACACTGAGGCAAACTTAACACGTAAGTTGTTTCCTCAAGTTTGGACTTGAGTTTTGCATTAAGAACCCTGAACGATCAGGAAAGTTCCCGGAGTTGTGGATTTGCAGGGCGGGTGACAGATGTACAGCAAGATACCAGTTGCCACTGGGACACGTTTCAAAACCTTTTTCTATTAAATGTGATTGTGACGTTAGCCAGAGGGGGCAGAGGCAGTTGAATCCTGTTCCTGCTCTTTCTTCCTGCTAAGTTTTCTATTCTGGTGTCGCTTCTATGCTTATGCTTTAAAAAAACCCAAACCTTTTCACTCTTAAGTGACTGATAGCCTGAGATGAAAGAGAGGGTGATTGAAACGATGTTGAAAGTTTGCAGGCCTTGAGGAAGAGAGTTTTTTGGTGTGTCCAGAGGAGTTAGGCTAATTTAGTGAAAATAGCATAGACATGTAAGAGTCCCAGCTAAAGGTGAAACAGACATGTTTGTAGATGATAATGGTAACACACCTGCTTGCTGGTTGTTGGGGTGGATTACATGAGATGGTGTGCGCACCAGTGGAGTTTCACTTCATACATGACAGCTTAAAGAAAAGCCAAAGAAAATTTAGTTTCCATTAATACTGCTTAGTTTTTCTGGCGTTGTCAGATTTTGCATGTCCTCCTACTAGTACACTAATGTGTATTCACCAATATTCTCTAAAATTAGAGAATTTTAGGTAGAATAGGTCATTCAAGTTCTAGTTGAACTTATCTTCAAGCATGTTCTAGAGTAAATAAATTGGAGAAGCCCATGCAGGGGTGGGCAACCTGCGAACTTCTGATTTCAAGATTCTTCTTTTTTAAGCACCAAAGGAGGCAAGAAAAGCTTCATTTTTCTTTGCTGCACCCCTTTTAATAAAAGAATTTAGTTCCGTAAAATTTGGATTCAGTAAAAAGGCCGCACTGAAGGACCTAGAAGATCGCATTTCACCTTAAGGCTGCAGGTTCTATTGTAGTGTTAGCTGTTGGGTGCATTGACAGTTTAACCAAACAAACGTGAAGTTGGAACTAGATCACATATGGACCCACTTTCGCCTACCTGCATTGGCAATTTGGGCGTATGTTACCAAGAATCCAGTCTGTGAAGTAACTGGGGTCTGTGTGGCTAGCTGCCTTTTTCTATGCCAGTTACCTTGTGTAGCTAGATTCTAAAAGAGCCTAAAGCCTTGCAAGTGCATTCCTTATGTGAAAGTGAGGTCTTTTATAAGTAAATAAATAGTGTTAAGGCTAGAAAAAAATCTAAGTGAAGATAAAAGTATAGTGTTAGAATACAAATGGATTGTTAAAGAGGATTCCTACCTTTTTTGATGGTAGTATCTTATTTGTATTACAATTTACAGTTTGCTAAGATCTTTTTAAAATATATATTTTATTTAATTCTCACAGTAGCCCAGCTAGTTAGTTGTGATTCACCCTCATCCTTGTGATGAGAATTCAAAATTAATAAACCAGTCATGACCCATAGGCAGTTCATAGAACTTCAGAGGTAAATGTTTTGCCCAAAGTCAAATATCCAGGAAGTGGTAAAGCCAGGAGTGAGCCTACTTCTTTTTTCTTATCCTGTATTTCTCCCATTTTGCCCGTAGATCCCTAAGTGTTATAAAATTATTGTTACTTTTGGTTATTATGGAGGTTTTATTTTTAATGGGATTTTAAAATAGTTTTGAATTGTCAAACTGTTTAAAAAATTTTAAGACTCCTAAAAAGTTTATGACTGAGTAATTTAACTAGATTTTTCAGTTTAGTTTTTTTTTAATGAATCCGTTAGCTTCCTTTGTCCTTTACCATCCATTTTCCATGAAACCACCTCTCTAGTTCCAAGAAATTCTTGCCTTTAGATTAATATTTACATCATTTATGATGCTTAACTATTTTGTTTACATAAACAGGAGGTTTATGTATTTTAGCCAGTCGAAGAATGTCATATGTCTGTTCTTTAACAAGGCATTTGACAAAGTCTAGAAATAGCATAAACCATAGTATTAGTTGTTTGATCAATGTCAGAGTAGGATTAGTGGCATTCCTTGTCCTATTTATCATTTTAATCAGTGAATTGGGTAATAATAAACATGATAATAGCTGATATCTGCATAGCAGTTAGTATGTGTTGGGCATAGTTCTATGCCCTTCACATACATTAATTCATAACTAATCCTATGAAGTGAGTACTATTTTTTATTCCCATTTTAAGAAATCACAGAGAGTTAAAGTAACTTCTCCAAGGTCCCAGTTAATACAAATCAGGAGCACTTGCCTTCTGCTGGAGAGCCTAACAGGGAACAGTATTAGAATTCACAAAGAGTTACCAAAGTAAAAGAAAATGTGTATTTATAAGTGACTTAATGATTCATGGTGGCTTATAAATGTATAAACAAAATAAGAAAATCATTTTAAAGTAAGGAAAAAAGATGAGAATGGGAAATAAGAGTAGTGAACTTAAATAAGATAGAGACTAGAATGAGTACACAAAATGCACATCAGATGCTTATACAGACACCCATAAATTTGATTTTTAAGATTACTGAGCAGCTAACTTGAGAAAAAAAATATCATTTGCGTCCATAAAGTTAAAACAAACTGTTTATTTGAACCAAACAGAACTGACAAAGAATAACCTGTCACGTATTCTTTTGGAAAGACTATATGCTAAACAATAATCTTTGGGGTAAAAGTGATTAATTTCTTAGGGGTAGTTCTTATAACTTTCCTGAATCCCATTTCAGTAATAATAGTTCTAATGGCTGGTGCTATCTGTATTGCCTGATCTAGATTCAAGACACTGATAATCTGGTTTAATTTAGAGGAAGGTTTTAGAAGAGTATATGTTCCATAGGTCTTGACAGTTCTCCGTAACTGAACTCTGAACTTTTGAAAGATATTAAGGCCGGGCGCGGTGGCTCATGCCTGTAATCCTAGCACTCTGGGAGGCCAAGGTGGGTGGATTGTTAGAGCTCAGGAGTTTGAGACCAGCCTGAGCAGCAGCGAGACCCCGTCTCTACTAAAAATAGAAAAAAATTAGCTGGACAACTAAAAATATATAGAAAAATTAGCCGGAGTTGATGACGCATGCCTGTAGTCCCAGCTACTCGGGAGGCTGAGGCAGGAGGATTGCTTGAGCCCAGGAGTTTGAGGTTGCTGTGAGCTAGGCTGATGCCACGGCACTCTAGCCCAGGCAACAGAGTGAGACTCTGTCTCAAAAAAAAAACAAGAAAAGAAAAGAACGATATTAAGCAGTGGTGTGTTGGAGATGATTTCTCAACTAGTGCTTAAAATACAGCCATTTTTTGTTTTCCATGTATTTCGGAGATACATCACTCATCAAATAGTACCTACTTGCTGCCAGTGGAAACGAAGGCTTTGGGAAACAATAGTGACCTGTATCAGATGCGTGCCCAGTCACCTGCCCTATACCCTCATAGCTTTATAGCCTTTATAGCCTATTGGAGGAAATAGTTAGTTTAAAACAGATTGTATTTGTGCTCAGATGGGAAACACTGAGACTTCCATTGAAGCATAGAGCCATTCCCTAGATGTAGGGAAGCCATTCCCTAGATGCCAGGGAAGACTTGGCAGAGAAAATGGCATCCAATTTGAGACTTGAAGGTGAATAGCACTGGGACCCCTGAGGCAGAGTTCAGTTTCACCAGACTTGTGAGCACCTACTTTTTTCTAGAAAATATTCTGGTAAGTGGGAAAGATGTAGTAAAGATGGGTAAGATGTTGTTCTAATCCTTAAGAGAGGAAGAGTTCGTTTCGATTTATCTGTTTGAAATGAAAATGATAAGTCACCATGAATACTTAGTCAATTAAATATACAAGTTACGCAATGGATTCTTTTAATCCATTTTTATTATCTTTTTTAAGCACCAAAGGAGGCAAGAAAAGCTTCAT